GCTCAAATTTAACTTCTTGATATTTTTCACGAGAATCACAAGACGTTTACCGAAAGATATCATTTTTATTTTTCAAAGATTTCAGAATATAGGTTTAAAAATAATTTCCTCGCAATTATTTACAACTTATCCTTTTATCGAGAAACGTTAAAATGGCCAAACAAGCTTCTTGAGTGGCTTGATGTATCAGGCCACTGAAATCATAATGGAAGAGATAGGAGATGTTATGAAATATGTTATCTAAATGTGGTTGATTCTGCGTCAAATTGTGTAGCAGGTCGACAAATTTTTATACTTTAAATAATCATAGATCGCAGATAACAAATTGATTATATTTCTGGAATAGCAGGTGATTATTTCTTTTTCTCCTTTAAATAATTATTTCATTAACAATTAATTTTAATAATGCTATCTTTATACCGGATATGAGTACTTTTATAAAATACCAAACTGCGCAATTTTTGAACAGCTTTGCAGAAGATAAAATTACTGACAATTCGACACACGTGCACGATTCATTTGCGAATATTATGTTTCTAAACCTCGGTAGAGAGTGTGCACAAGTGCTCTGTTACAATTATCACCAAATATTTATCAAAGTTTAACTTATCAAAGATAAGTACAGATTCGCTTTCGTCTAAACTTACTCTTAACATCCAAAAGATAGCGAATCTGACATTTAGTCGTGCATCAATATTTAAATTTGCTTTGCCTACACAGCTCGCCATACATTAGAATATCAATAAAGTATGCTCTCGTTCCACCCATTCTTAAAAAAGAGCGTTAATTTTTCAAACTTGTTAAATGCCATTCCAGTATAGCTGCAACATTCGTTGCGTAGGATATCAGGCTCAAATCTAAATCAGCTTTTGCTCACCTTTGCATCCAGTTTAGTATGAATATTAACAAATCTTGGAAGAAATTTTCATTTGAAATAAAGGAACATCTACATAATTATTTTTGAAATGAGATCCATGATTCTCGTTTATGTCTTACGGAAATTCATATAACGTACGTTGGTATTAGAGATCAGATATATTTTCACTTTGCAAATAGACGAATATGGTCTTTAGGAAAACAGACGTTTTGACAAACGAATGTAATAAAGGATGTGTCATATCGACGGTGAAAAACAAGTGAAAACAGATTCTTTCTCGATATACTGTTTTGTAATACCACTTTCCTCACTTTTACCATGATATATTAGTAACTATACGGTGACTTATCATGACTAATTACAAATTAGTTTGTCCACGACTACGTCCATATGTTCTTGTCAGTTCAGTAATAGAAGACAACAGGATGTCTCATCACTCTATCTTCTATCTCATCTCGGCACTCTTCATCATCATTAATGTACGAAAGGCCATTGATTATCGAGACGGCCATGAAGTGTCTAAGGGTATACATACGACGAGTGCACGCATGGGTGCGTGAAAACGACTTGCAAATTTGTTGAGAAAAATTCTAGCTTAGTAGAAGAAGCCATCACGAACGAGTACACGTCATGCTACTGTCTAACAAAATTGTACAACATCTGTATTTGGCCATGTGCTAATTAACCACGGTGCTACCCACCCTAATTTACACGTGACGTTTCATCCGCAAATACTGTGTCATCCGTGTCCTACGCACCTTGCGTCATTCTGTTAGAACGTTGCATATGAAACGGTCAATATCATGAACACTTAAATTCCTCAGAATTTGATAACAAGTACTGGCATATGGGTTTTATCGTATAATCAATTTGATGCTTGAAACTGTTTGAAGAGGCCACTGGATTTGTTTCGTCGATCGTATCGCTACAAAATGAAAGATTCAAATCATATTCGAGGACGTTGATGTGTACCTTTCTCATACGAATTTAAATTGGAATGTAACGTTGAATTGACAAATTGTCTGATTGAAATAATATCTCGAATGGATAAAAAAAATAATGCCTTGTCAGAGACAACACACGATTACTCTTCGATTTTGCTCACCCCCTACCGTATAGTGCGCATTACATTATCGATAAAGATATCATTGGGACAAGTGCACAAGTCGTCAATGTATTTTGCTGAAACAATTCAGACATTGTGCCACCGGAGCTGATACCGATCGCTCGATTCAACGACTTAAAAAGTACACACAGGTCTCACGTATTCTCTATACTCGCATTGTATCCACCTACAATCGTCAGAAGTGTGACGTTACGCAAACCAGCTAGCGCTAGCACACGTGAACCCGTTATGTCACAAGCGAAATTTTCATGCGCGCGACATTCTCCCCGGCGAACGGCGGAGCAATCTCTTTAAAATATTAATTCGTTCGCGCAGCCTCGCGCCGGCCGATAGTATTTTTCGATAAGATAAAAACGCAGCTGTGTGTTTGAAAAGTAGCGCGAACACGTCACCGGTCGATGGAAATTTTTACGAATTGCCTGAAACGGTGCACGCGGAAACGGTATTGACGCGAGCCACATCATTCGTGGAAATGCCGTTCCGCGCCAATGTTGTAAATCACAGTAGTAAAATCGCCATTCGTTGCGACGATGCTTGAACTTTGACCAACTGGACGCTGCGCTTGGGTGCATCCCAATTGTTTAATACTCGACTTGTGAAAATAAAATACGATTAATGAGCTTGTAAAATAACGGAGTAGAGAAACTGCAGAGGATTTGTAGAGAGAGATTGATTTTGTCAACGATCGTTTTTCAGTTAATCGATCAACGCTGAACAATTTCAGGAGTAAAAAATCAAGGCCTCTGATAGGATCGAAACGAAAGACAAGATCACGTGCTCGCGTTAATGTTTCCGCTGATCTAACCGGTCATCGTAAACTTGATAAGAGACGTAATCAGTGCGGTCGACGCTTGAGTCGTACGTTCACTCTCACCGTTTCGAGATTGGCGAGCTGGATAGTGGGGACGAGTCTCGAAATATTGGGTCATCCGGAGAGTTTGTAGCGATTTTCAATAGTTGAATAGTGTTAACATAATTCGAACCTTGGATAGTCCAGAAATTATAAAGTGCACGCGTAAAAGATGCAAACTTGGAGAATAATTTTTGGAAGTAAGACACTTGGAGAAGAAAACTGAGGAATGGGAATCCCATGCTTACAAGTTACAACTTTCTGTGGGTGTTTAGCCAGGAAGACTGATTGGGGCATCCAATTACAATTCTGACCATAATTGCTATGTTGTGGCCGCCTCAAAAACAACTCAAGAAGACCTCTAAACAAAAGTGGATATTGTAAAACAAAGAAGAAAGTTTGATCCGGCTCTAGCAGCAACCAAGTTACATTTTTCTCTTTCTTTGTTACAATTATTAATCCCCAATCATTTGACTTGTTCTCGCGCTTAGCTGAGTGGAAGTGGCGATATTCGAAATGGGAACAGATTGAAAATCGTTTGGCGAACCGTACTCTCGGAGGCGCATCGATTCATCCTCGACTTCCGGTCCGCAGCATCGAAAATTCGCCATTCGTTGATGGCTGCGTGGGGATCGTTGCCATATGTTAGCGCGCAGCTGAGCCGTTGCTCTATTCCCGCAAAAATCGGCTAATAAAAAGGCAACTCGTCGACCTTCGATATAGTCTATGCCTTCGTGGCGATTGGCTCTCGGTGTACCTCTCTTTCTCTCCCTTTCTGCTTCTCCTGGGCTGCGTGTGCTTCGCCAGTGTGCACCGTTGCCAACTTTCACGTATCATAATACACAGTGAAAGAATGTGGTTTCCCTTTCAAATTACAAAATACTGGCGCGAGCAGTATTTTGCCCGCACACTTCTCTCGATTATTCGGCGTTTTCTCGTGCGATTCGCATTTCGATCAACCGAGTAGGACCTTGGGGGCTTAAGACACCTTCTCCGTATTGTCCCAGCTGAGTTAAATGCATTCGAGTTTGAATAATTGAAACTGAGTTCAGAAACTTGTTTCAAGAGTACAAAATTAATTTAGACTAAAAATATAATTTAAATTACATCACTGGGCTTATGCAATAGGAAGTAAACTTTTTAAAAAATTCCGATCGCTAAATCTGAATACCACTCAGGGTCATTCTCTGCAGCATACCATCCGCCGTGCTACAGCGTTTCTGGTCGTTCATTATTCATTCGCGTCGTCGGTTATTTCCGCATAAATTACGTGTGGCGTAAAAACTGTTAGTCTTTCTCTTCGACGAGCTTTCCAGACATTGCTAATCGCCTCGACGCGCACAGATGGGTAAGATTCTCGTTTCTACTGACATTTTGAGTAACCAGATGAAAAAGTAAGAACTGCTTATTAAAAGGTACAGTGTCAAGAAAAAATATTGTTCGAACTTCTAGTATAGATGATACCACTCCATTGAGCACATATGTACAGCTCAAGTTCCCAGTTAACTAAGATATAATTATGTATAACGCATCAGTCCCAATCTATTGTGCACATAAAATGCCGTCCATCTCTGTTCGGAGACGGTCGCATCGATCGTACCCAGAGAAATCGCCTTCTGTCGACGAGTCTCGCCTTCTCCCAAGGATACTGTGCAACACCTGAGACTGAAGCCTTGATTAAGATATTACGTTGCCACGCATGGTCCACACGATCGGGCGCTCGATTTTACAGCTAAAGACAGACTTGACCCACATACACCGTAAAAACCAGTAGACACGTCCGTTCTAATTGCGAATATCGATTCGACGACGGGGCTAACTGTTACCTGGACCATCGTCTTTGTCTGTTATGGCGTGTATCATCTTTCGTGCCATTAATTTGAACAGGAAAGTATTCGCGCGCCCTGCTATGGGTGAAACTGGGTCAGGGACGCGGGTCGTGCACCAGCGAACAATAAAAGCTGCAGCTCCTTTCATCACGCCCGCTTAGGGAAACGTGGAAAGAGACTTTGTCGCGACGGATCGACACCAAGACTCCAGTAGGATTGAATCAGTGAAATAGAGATGAGTCTAAATCTTGGCTTGACGAGTTTTCCTGATTGTGTGGTAGGAAGAGGCACTTTCTTATTTGCTGACAGGAAAAACAGGAACATTTTGGGTATTCAATGATCTTCCTCGGGAACAAGGTAACAGAATCTGTGAAATGAAAAAAAAAAGGATTAGAGACTCAGAAAATTTCAAAGGGAAGTTGTAATAGGAAGTCACAGAATATACAAATAGTTCTGAAAAATTATCTAATTATTAGAGGCAAAAAAAGAAAGAATCTTCCTAGAAAAAATGGAAATAGGTGGAGAATAAAAAAAAGTAATGAAAGAATTTCTTTAAATAGTCTACTGTCTACTGAAAAGAAACGAAAATTGAAGGTGATCGCTAACCATTTCTCATCTATAAATAGTATGGAATGTCTACATCTACTAAAGCTTTCAAAGAGAACATTGAGAGTACATAATATGTCTTGTGTACTTATCATACAGTGACTCCTATGACCCCTGCGTCATAGTAATTTCTTTCTATTCTCGGCGGCGACACTCATCGTTGTCTTCTGTTACACTTTATGAGAAAGTAATGTCTTTTGCGATTAGAAAAATAAGAAGTTGGGATCACGAACCAGGAACGATAGAAAACAAAGTGTTAATTGTTAGACTACGTTATCCGATATGTTACAAATGATTATGGAACAATTCAACTTATTATAGGAATTTAATCAGAGAAATTTAAAATATTACAAATAACATTTGGTTTATTAAGTTAACAGCTATTAATAATTAAACGAAAAATAAGTCCCGTGATGTCTAAGGTTGAGTATCCTTCATCGAAGTCAGTGGGAGTTTCTTAGAACAATGAGACTCTCCCTGGACCAGTCCTCGAACACGTGACCCGACGACGGTATATCGAAAATGCCAAAAATCGATCCAGCATGTCCTCGCGTGGGTGTCCTACAGGCAACAGGTTTCCGTCCTATTCCACTGTGCCATGCTCGCGAATAGAATATCCTTGCTGAATATCAGTAGTTCAGAACGTTCCTGACAGCCGCGAAACATCTCCACTTATCAGGCAAATAGAACGGCTCGAAGACGTGGGGAAAGGGACTGTCCCAACCCGTCACCCTCTGTACAGGTGCCTCCAGGTTCAGGAAACATTCCTCCTATTTTGCAAATTTTTCTCATCAATATATGAAACACTTATTATTAGAGACTTCGTGCAAGAGCAAATTGACTGCCTAACTCTCTTAAAACAACCACGCAATAATTAGCGAGAAACGCGTTCAACGTCGAATTTTTGAACCAACATTTAAATAACAAATTTCGAGCCAACCGTTCGCTGATTTAGCGCTAGGATTAGGGTTTTGCAAGGTACAGGTTTGCACATCTGAACAAGCCGAAGCGTATCGAACCGTCACGAAGTGTGCGCAAGTGACGTAACAGAACGCGTGTAATGATATCCTGCCACATTCCAGCGATGCATTGAACATGCATCTAATGCATTTTCGGCGACGAACGATCGTATACGCGGCACGTGTAAATAATTTCGTAACTGAAATACTTAGTCTCGTTTAACCGTTAGGCATACCGACGCGTCGATGACCAGGCTGAATTATCGCGAGGCACGCTGCAATTACGTAAAGTTATCTCGCGATACACGACATAATTGCCACGATATTTTCAGCAACGTTACTCTTCGAAATTACATCGATTCAAATGATCGAGTTCAAACCGATCCTAACGTGGCTTAGCAGTTTTCCACGTCGAGGTGCATCAATTTTGAAATTTTATCGCGTTGTTTGTACAGCTTTGCGTTTACTACGACCGTGTAGACTGTAACAGTATACGTAATATTTATAGCCACTTTCTCAGAGAAAACGTAATAATTCTTGAATAAATTATCGTTCGCAAACAAAGGCGTTCGATGAACAGAGTGGTAGGAATACAAACAAGAAGGTTGAGTGGAATACAGGTAGGAGGAGCTTGAAGCAATTTCCGAAGTGTTTTCATAAGCAGGAAGAAACATGTTAGAATAATTGCATCGTTTAATTAAGAGTAACGAATTGGAAAGACGCAACTGTGTATTCTTGACCTTTCTTAATTTTCATAAATAATTTAGAAGACGGAGACTTTTACCTGAATAGTTGAGACTATTTCTGCTCCAAATCCACTGGTCAGCGGTGCTTCATGGGCGACCACAACACGGCCCGTTTTCTTCACTGACTGCAACATATATACATATCCAGCGGTAAAGGGTAAACTCAAATAACACGTCAAGATAATTAACACAGACAAAGAAAATTCAATTTCCCGATGGTCGAAGTTCTTTAAACAGTATGATCATTGTGCAAAGCAAGGCTCCGCCCTGGTTCAGTCACCTCCAAATCGATTTGGTATTGAGCATTTTAACGACTATTCCACCTGACGACTGACCGAGATGTATATCAAAATGTCCTTGTTTCGTAGAGGAAATGTCGCTAAGAAAAAGTTCTTGTTACCGCCGTAATAAAAACACTTGTTGAGCGAAAATATCTGCCAACAGATAAGAACTGAGAACTTCATGGTCCCTTGCTCGTACGTATCAACTCCAATGTGGAGCTCAGCAAGGATCGTACGCGCAGCGCATAAAGCTGTATGTCCTAACACATGTCATGAAGGGTAATTCGTCGAACGAGCGGACCGTGCCACGGATCAATTCGTGAATGATTTATGCCCCGTCCCATACGAACGGGCATAATAATAATTTATACGCGGCCAAGACGGTAAGTGATGCATTAATATAGCGAACGGATCGTTCCGCCGCGACTATCCCGTCCACCTCAGCCGCGATCGACGATAGAAAACGAGCGATCGGTGGCCTGTAATTAAGACACGTAGGCGCGCCTGCGTGTGTGTGTGTCCCGTTGTAAATCATTAGGAACAGCGACTCGATAGTACGCATGACTGTGCGCCGCGTACAGGTTTCTGTGACATTTCAGATTTCAGCTGACCTTCCCTGCAACTTTCAGACGTTACGGTCCCCGCCGGGATTCGCCCTTCTTAAATCCCTTGCACCAGCGGCTCTCAAACTGACCGCGTCGATCACGAACACGTAGATCTCTGGAAGCCTTCAGAAGAATTATGGATTAATTGAAGTCGTTCGAAATTTTCTAAAATATAAAGTGAAACGGAGTCGATGTAATATTGAAAAACTCAATAGCATCGAGGTTCCATATATAGTGTTTATCTATTAAGAGGTCACGGCTGTATTGAGTAAAAAATTAGAGTTAAATTCACTCCAGGAAATCTGCCAAAGATTGTCCCGTGTCAAGAACCTCACGGAAAAGTCAAGTTTGAGAAACACTGCCTCTTACTTCGCAGCGTGTACCGGTTCCTTTTATTTCATTTTTTTTTTTTTTAACATAGTCGGTCACGGGACCGAAACGTACACAGTTTAGTAATTTGCAATAAGACCTTTCCAAGTAACTTTTTTTTATTTATTTAACGACTCTACTCGCCCTGGCGAAACAGAATACAAGTTCTCGAAGACATGACACATTATAGAGGAGGCAAGGTGAAACGACAAGGTTCGGAAAATTGCTGTTTTACGGCCTAATCGTAAACATTAGTGCTTCCATAACTCCGTGGATATTAAGTTGTTTGTCAAAGTTGGTATTAGTACGAAGAAGCGACGATATGTTTGTTCAACTGCTTTACAAGATAGCATCGATGAACGATGATGCTGGAAATTCTTATCTATATACAAATTTCGAGCAACGAATGAAAGATAAACAATTTTTCATGCGATATTTGCACGATATAAATCAATAATTATGTGGAATACAATGCCATAAATGGATACAGATGAAAGAAAGACGGACTTTATACTTGTATACATATTAACTCAAATTTTCTTTTATTATTTGGACATACTGTTTAGTCAGTTAGACACTGTTTGCATTCTACTTACTCGTGGTACATTGGACCAAGGAGAAGGTGTCTCTACTACTAACGTCGCCAGCGTCGAATGGATGGACTACAATTACTACATCTGCTCAAGATAGTTGCTAAGAAAACCTATGCTCTCAACTGTTACGCGATGCTGCCTATTTTATATTGTATATTTGTAGATACATACTATTTAGATAAATATAGAAATAAATTTCAGATTGTAAATAGATATCGCTTACATCTTCAACTTAGTAATTTAAAAAAAATCGAATGAACGTAAGACAAAGTTTGCATATCTTTCTACCTGTGACATAGCATACTACGTGCAATAGAGGATATTGAAAGCTTCTTTTGAAACGTGTCCCATTTGATTGTTCGGTTTATCTAGAAATACCTAGCATGCCATGCACATCAAATTGCAACTTTAGCATTTCTGCAACACCTTCGACACGATTGACGATTAAATGACGGTAACATTTCATTTTCGAAAACTATAATAAAGATTCACTGATTACGAATGCTTTACGCTGTAAAAAGGCGACTGATGGCAAAAGAAAAATCGAGGAAAAACCAGCGACATACGTACAAACGATTTCTTCGAATAACCGCATTCTGCCGATTGTAGCGATGCGAAAATGTTTATGGCGCACAAGCGTGATTAATATTTACAGTTTCCTGACTTGGCTGCGTTTAGATTTACGTTGAAATCAATTATTAACATTTCTGTGCTCCTTTAAAATTAGTCAAATAAGAATGGAAACGTTGGATACGATTACAATTCAACAAGCAAACTTATTTTGATTAATGAAGAGGACTCAAGTCAGACCGTAGTCTACTTCTCCATTTGCCTCTAGCGCCTATATCTGTAATTCAAGTTATAAACTGATTGAGAACCTAATCTGTCGCGGCTAGTCAACGACATTTCCACGATTATCGTATTTCAAGATCAGGATATTTCATAATTCGACACCTTTCAGGATCTCCGTTTCGCAGAAATCGCGGGGGACTTTCCACTCGGATGGCGATTTTGCCGCAAGAGCGGTGACGTTCAAAGAACATCATCGGTTCGGCGAATCCGCGAGCGTATCGAAATTACGCGAAACGGGTTTTCAATTACGCTCACCACTTCTTTGGTTCATGTGCGGACGCGTACAGCGACGTGTGAGCGCATACCGTACAATCGGCA